GAGGGTGAACGAGCGAGCGAGAGAGAGTAAAGGCGGGGGATCGAGAGAGAGCACGAGAGAGGGAGGCCCGAGCGAGAGAGAGCAAAGGAGTGGGATCAGAGAGAGAGCAAAGGAGAGGGAGCGAGAGAGAGCAAAGGAGAGAGCAAGGGAGAGAGAACAAAGGAGAGAGCAAGGGAGAGGAAGCGAGAGTGAGCACGAGAGAGGGGGCGAGCGATCGAGAGCAAGGGAGAGAGCAAGGGAGAGGGAGCGAGAGAGTGAGCAAAGGAGAGAGCAAGGGAGAGAGAGCGAGGTTGTGAACGAGCGACGCGAGAGCAAGGAGAGAGACGAGCGAGAGAGAGCACGAGAGAGGGGGCGAGCGAGAGAGAGCAAAGGAGTGGGATCGAGAGAGAGAGCAAAGGAGAGGGAGCGAGAGAGAGCAAAGGAGTGGGATCGAGAGAGAGAGCAAAGGAGAGAGCAAGGGAGAGGAAGCGAGAGAGAGCACGAGAGAGGGGGCGAGAGCGAGCGAGAGCAAGGGAGAGGGAGCGAGAGAGAGTAAAGGCGGGGGATCGGGGAGAGAGCGCGAGGGAGGGGGCGAGCAGAGAGAGCAAAGGAAGTGGGATCGAGAGAGAGAGAGCAAAGGAGTGGGGATCGAGAGAGAGAGCAAAGGAGTGGGATCGAGAGGAGAGAGAGCAAAAGGAGTGGATCGAGAGAGAAGAGCAAAGGATGGGGATCCGAGAGAGAGAGCAAAGGGATGATCAGAGAGAGAGAGCAAAGGAGAGGGAGCGAGAGAGAGCAAAGGAGAGAGCAAGGGAGAGGAAGCGAGAGAGAGCACGAGAGAGGGGGCGAGCAGGCGAGCGAGCGAGAGCCCGTCAGACAGATTTCATTCCCAGATCTTGTCCATTTTTTAGATTTTCTTTTGGTTCCTTTATCTGATTTATGGGAAACACCTTTTCTTCTCTGTCGATTTCTCGTCTCCTGCCATTTCCCTCGTTCGTTCTTTCATTATTTGCTCATCTGATTTTTGGCTTCTCTCCATCTCTCCGATCTTATTCTTTTTCTGTTACACACACATGTAGATATATACAGGGACACACACACACACACACAGACACAGAGGTACATGTTTTTATGGTTATTTTTTATTATCTATTGGAATCCTCATTTATTGAAATGATTTATTTCTTTATTTCTTTTCTTTCAGGCATCTTATAATCCTCCTTTCTCTGCTTCCTGTTTTTATTCCTTCTGGCTTTCTCATTTTCTTTCATCTCTCCCCATTTTTCCTTCGTCTTTACTATCTTTCTCCTTGCTTCTCATCTTTCCCCTCTTCTTCTTCCTCCTTGCTTTCTTTCCCCCTTCTTACTCGTTCTTCCTCCTTGCTCTTTCTCCTTCCTTTTCCTTCCTCTTTCTCTCTCCTCTTGTCCTCCCTTCCATTCTCCCTCTTCCGCCTCCATCGTGAATCACAGCGAGGACACACACTGGATCGGAAGCGACCCAAGGCGATCGCAGGTGCCATCAAATCCCTCACGGCTCATTGGATCCTTTCGCCGCCACCCCGAGCGATGCTCCGTTGTCCTTCCGCGGGTCACTTCCTGCCACTTATACTTTCACATTCTGGCATTTATACTCTCTTGTGCGACCAGTCAAAGCTGTATAAAAGAATTACTTCTTAGTATAAGGTCTATGGACCAGAAACAGATTCTATGAGATAATAGATATCATCTCTCTACCGATCTTTAGAAGAGAAAAGACGAAGAGAAAAGGAAAATGTTACCTATTGTTCGCTTGTGACATCTTTTTAGTCTTCCACAAAGAATTAACGATCTTATGACTTTGCGATTGTATACCACGATATTCCTGAGCGTGGGATCAAAATGCATATACACGCTCTTTGGAATTTGATTGAGAGAGTTTATAGTTTATAGCGACGAAACCTGACTTTATATTATATTTATAGAGTTTATACATACATACGTACATACATACATACATAAATACATACATACATATATATATATATATATATATATATATATATATATATATATATATATATATAATACACACACACACACACACACACACACATACACACATACACACATACACACACACACACACACACACCACACACATACACATACACATTACACATACATATACACATACACATACACATACACATACACATACCACATACACATACACATACACATACCACATACACAACACATACATACACATACACACACACACACACACACACACCACACACACACACACACACACACACACACACCACACACATACACACACACACACACACACACCACATTACATATATATATAATAATATATAAATATAAATATATTATATATATATATTATATATATATATATATAATATATATATTATATAATATATATTATTTGTGTGTGTGTGTGTGTGTGTGTGTGTGTTGTGTGTGTGTGTTGTATCACTTGTGTGATTGTGTGTGTGTGTGGTGTGTGTGTGTGTGTGTGTGTGTGTGTAATATAATATATATATATAATATATATATATTATATATATTATATATATTTATATGTATATATATATATATATGTATATATATATGTATATATATATACATAATATATATATATATATATATATATATATATATATATATAACTTATATTATATATATATATATATACACCACACACAACACACCACACACACACACACAACACACACACACCACACACACACACACACACACACACACACATACAACATAATATATATATATATATATATATATATATATATATATATTAT